ATATGAAAAAATTTCATTTCGAACCGATGTTCATACAATCAAAGGTATTTTAACACCACCAATTCACCATCATGAATTCTTTAAACGGTCCTTAAGTTACCAAATTGGCTACGTGTACAACGGTACCTATTCCAAACGAAATTAAAAAATTGAATGTAATTAGTTTTAAGTACTTACATAAGAATGTTTTGTGGAAGCAATAAACCAAAATAATACATTTCAGATCCCTAAGTTATTAAGAGTCCCTATTATTGTTTTTTTTCAAATTCTGTATTATACGCATATTCCATAATGTTAAGGTTATGTGAGGTTAAGTGGTAGAACAAATCTGTAATTTTGAATTATTGATTTGAACTTCGCATTTGACGTCATCCCTAGGATCATTAATGTTCCAAATGTAAAAAAAATCTATATCTATCCTAGATTGACAGAATAAAGACACATTATTATTATTATTTTTTTTCACCGTAGTGTGCGCTGGTCAGGCCCTATCCCCCGAAGCTCCGATACATTTGGGAGGGCGCGCCAGCATTATCAACCAATGACCACTCCCCCACCGTGGGGTAAGTGATCATTGGGTCCGAGAACCATGTGCCCTGAACAAGCGCAGTGAGCCAAGAATAACAGCCTTCTGCATCTGTGCGGCTAAGATTTCTGCCTTAGTGCGGCAAGCCGGTATGATTTTAAGATTCGAGAGTAGAGAGGACATCATTCCACCAAGGACTCCAATAATCAGAACAACCATCTTGACAGAGTGATCTGGATAGAGTCTGCGGAGTTCGATGAGAAAATCTCGATATTTTATCCCTTTCTCGTCCTCTTTTCTGACGATATTCGTCTCACCAGGAGCTGAAAACTCCACGACAAATATTGTTTTGCTCTGGTGGTCGAGAAGGACTACATCAGGCTTATTAGCTTGTATGAGCCTGAGGGTAGGGAACGAATAGTTCCAATAAATTCGGCACTTCTCGTTCATCACAACGGATTTAATATCCCCTGGAGCGTAGGGCAACACCGGTGTCTCGTCAATACCGTAAGAGTGCCGTAGATGGTAATATAGCACTCTTAGGGCCGCGTTATGTCGATGGATATAGGCCGAGACCGTATATGCTGGACATGCTGATAGCAAGTGCATTAGGGTCTCGGGCACCTCGCGGCAGGCTCTGCACCTTTTGTGTCAGGAACCTCTATCAAACTTGGAAAATAATCAAAGATATCACAAACATGGATGCAAATAGAAATAATGTAGAAAGCACAACAATCAATAAAGGAAATGGTGAAACCGTAAGTTGTAATGAAGAAAAAGCTAATCTGTTCAATAACTTTTTTCATAGTGTAGGTGCAAATATTGCAAAAAAATTGAAAAATGTGACTTACCCAAAAACTTTATAAATGATACCAAGGTAGCATCCTCCTTATTTTTCGAACCAGTGACAGAAAATGAAATAATATGTCTAATAGTGCATTATAGTGCACCAGGTCCTGACGAAATAACTAGCAAACTGATAAAACATATAAATCAATACCCTATTGAAACCACTAGTTCATTTGATTAATTTGTGTTACAAAAAGGGTAATGTACCGTCTCAGTGGAAAGTTAGTAGAATAACTCCAGTCTTTAAATCTGGAAGTCAAAGTGAAATATGCAATTACCGACCAATTTCTGTCATCAATAATTTTGCGAAACTATTCGATCAATATGTCAAAAATCGAATAATGTATTTCTTTAGTAAACATCAGGTAATAACACAACAACAATTCGGGTTCATAAACAAATCGAATACAGAAGATGCCGTGCTCGACTTCGTAGAACAAACAGTAGGGGCCTTGGACAAGTCTTCGAAATGTCTTGCAGTATTTATGGACTTGGCAAAGGCGTTCGATACTGTGTCACATGAAATCCTACTCCAAAAATTGTGTAATTATGGCATTAGAGGTCATGCTCTGCAACTAATGCAGAATTATTTAAAAGAACGGACTCAAACTGTTAAAATTGGTAGCAAGCTCAGTACAGCATTACAAATCAATGTTGGTATACCCCAGGGTACAGTACTTGGCCCGATTCTTTTTCTTGTTTATATAAACGCAATTACACAAATTAATGAATTTCACGGTCATATAGTGTGTTATGCTGATGATACGACCTTGATCTTCACTGGTGAAAGTTGGGATACAGTCTATGAAACTGCTGAAATCAATGTGAGAAAAATTCTTCTTTGGCTGAATAATAATCTATTGAGTCTAAATGTGGATAAAACAAAATTTATGGCTTTTTCACTAAATTCAGATGATCAGCCGCATATTAATGAACTGAAATTACACAAAATGACATGCACAAAAAATTACAATTGTAAATGCCCGATAATAGAAAAAACTGTATCCATGAAATATTTGGGTCTTGTTATTGATCAACATATGAGATGGGACAAACAAATTTCATATGTAATACAAAAGATGAGACTACTTATGCGTAAATTTTATAGTCTCAGAGATATTCTTTCTAAAAAAAAACCTATTATTAATATATCAGTCTTTGGCAGAATCCATTATAAGATATTGCATGACATCATGGGGGGGTACTTTCGACAACCACATTAACAGCTTACAAATAACACAGAACTCAATTTTGAAAATAATTTTGAAAAAAAATAGACGATTTTCAACGGATCATTTATATCAAGAGACTAAATTACTAAACGTAAGATTATTATACAGTTACCTGTGTCTAATATGGATGTTCCCGAAATTTAGTAATTACTCAACTCATATAACGGTAAGAACTAGAGCAACCGATAATTTAAATTCCAAAATACCTCTCTACAAGAAGAGCCATACACAAAGATTCGTGTTTTATTATGGTCCGAAATTAAACAACATACTCCCAGTAGAATTGAATATCAAAGGAATTAATAAATTCAAACAAAAGCTCAAACAATTCATAATCGAAAACCCTCAAAAATTTGACATATACTAAAAAAAAATAGTTACTTACTTAAAATTTTTGTTATCTTTTTAAAATGTGGTGTCCTTGTACAAGTATTAATAGTAATAACGAATGTGATATAACAACGCAGAATTTTTCCAAGGTAGTGATTCCAATAGCGATGGTGAACAATGCGAAAAAGATATACCAATAATATCTTTAAATCACAACGTTATGAAGTCTTCGGCATTTTTACTTTTTGATAATCAACAAATCAACATAACAACCCCTTATTTAAGAAAAAATATTAATCGCACCTTAAAAATACTTAAAATAGGTGAGGTGTTTATTTGAGTAGGTGTAGATTCTTCTTTTGAATATTATTGGTTTTTCAAAAATATCAAACATTAAATCACTTGTGATGATGCCCTGTTTGGAACCTTTGGTGTAGTGTTAAACTGATGAATTAAAATAACGGTTTGATATTGGGAAAAGTTAGTTGTTACCTAATGTCACAATACCTAGGTACTTAATATTTATGTAATAAACAAAGTAAATCACAAAGTAAGTCGCAAGTCGCGACATGATTAGGCACGTGGACGCGGCAAAATGTTATGTCGCTTGTATGAAACTCAACGAGCCGAACATGACCGATCACAAGGCGAGAACTCCCGAATGCAGTTTCGGTATCGATCGTAGTTTCGGCAGGTTTGCCGCCGAAACCGAAACCCGTTTTTTTGCCGAAACTCGACCAAAACCAACACTAAGCGTAACAAATACTCAGAACAAATAACTAAATATAGAGAAGAACAACGGCAAACTTTCTATTTCGACGAAAATTGGTATGACACTCACGACAAAGTTACGAAATAGTGGTTCAAGAATATGTACTAACATGCCTGCAAACAAAGGATCGCGGCTAATCATTGTGCATTGCGGAGGAAGTAAAGGATGGGTTCCGAATTATTTGAAATTATCTGGAAAAAACTTGAGGACTGTAATGTTCATAAGAACATGGAAGCTAATATTTTCAAGGAATGGTTTGGAAACACATTGATCCCAAATTTGGATGCGAATAGTGTAATAGTTCTTGACAACGCTTCCTCATTCGCAACAGCTCATCAAATTAGCTAATAAAAATTCGAGGAAAGATGATATACAAAATTTTTTAATGGATATCAATTTGTATTTTAAAGATTACTATACCAAAAATCAACTACTTGAAGTTTTACAGACAAAAACCTTTTGCTAAAGTGTATGCCCTTGAGAGTATTGCTGAAAAGTATGGACAAACCATACTGAGACTTCCACCCTATTTTTGTATTTTCAATCTCATCGAGTTGATTTGTGAAAATCATCAGGCGTAAAAATTATTTTTCAATATTTGATAAGAAGCTAACAGAGCTAATTAAAGAAGAAGTATTTAATATTACCAAAGAAGACTGGCAGATTTAAACGACGACAGTGATAGGGAAACAAAGAATATGGAAGAGGAATCATCAGAAGCTTTTGAAGAAAGTTAGTGAAGTGTTTTTGAAGCGATCGATTGTTTATATATGTGAGTAAGTAGTATTTTTTTATTTTTGTTCAATTGTATTATTTTTTACTTTACTTACTTAATTTTATTTCACTATTAGGTATTTCATTTCAGTTTTTTTTTGCCTAATATAATTGTTATTTACAGCTATTTATTCTTATATAATCAGAAATGATTATTGAATAACGAAATTAGTTAGCTCCATAACTATATTATTAAAGGGGATCTGTTGGAAAGTAGGTTGCACTATATCGTTTACTTGAACTATAGCTATTATTGTTGTATATAAGAACTGTAGCCAGTGTGTAATATTCATTTTTACCGTGTAAGCTACAATGTTAGCGAAACACGTCTAGAAATTGAAATGTTTGTGAAAATTGTGTAATTATTATCAAGGATAGTTTCTTCTAGTTTTCAATACTAATAAATTAATTTGGTTTGCTGAAAGAAAATATTTAGGTTTCCCCAATAAACTTTGTTGATGAAGTGTGGGATTACCTTTTTGTATTCCAATTACAGTAGAATATGAAATAAACAATATTGAAGATTTAGAAAAATCCATGAAAAATATTTATTTTGAAGTTTTGAACCATATTCAGTATATTATCAAGTAGGTATATCAAATTTCCTATAAGAAACCATTTACATACATGTGTTTAATCAATTCTACTGATTTCGCTTCAACTTCCTCTGCACTATATCTTTCATTGGTATCAGATATTCTCATGTGTTCGACCTGAGTAAGCAACTCTGAGATGTCCATTGGGTACTCTTCTCTAACCGTGTGATCCCTTAGCCCTAGAAGTCCCATCACGAACCCAAATTTACAATACATCTTCCACTCTTTTTTCAGTGTTTCCTTAGAATATAATTTTTCTGGGTCGCAGTTCATTTTCATTAAGGTATTCGACAACGATTTGTGATAAATATCCAAATAGTAATCGAGTTCTTCAAAGATCTCCGATGATCCTCCAGCGTAAAAGCAATAGGACAAATCGAAAACTGGAGTTCCAACTCTTGACCGATGAAAATCGATAAATCTTATGTCAACGGGTTTTTTGTTTTCCTGTAATGTAACAATAATTTCCATTAAACTAGGCATCATAATTTACATAAATAGTTTACAGGAAGTAATTATAGAGATAGTATATGATTATCAATAAATAATTTAAAACCATGTAAATCAACACAAGCTAATCATGAAAAGACATCCCATGAAAACGTTACTTTTAAATGATCCATAATAAGGAATTCATTGTTCGGGAAGAGTTAATATAATATAATTTGAATATAAATTGTTTTTTTGTGGGATAGTCGTGGACAGGTGTTGAAAAATAATAAACTGGTTGACGTAAGAAGGTTTTAATTGAGTCAGTATTTTAAATATCAGAATCATGGGGAATTATCCTATTCTCGATAGGTAGCCGGTCGGTTCGACGTGGGTGCTTTGTTCACTCATTCAATCGACCGCCGTGTTAGTCGGTGATTCAAGCCGCAGGCTGAACCACCTTCTGGAAAGGTCATGGCCTCGGTATTTTGGGATGTGCGTAATGTAATATAGACTATCTTAAGAAAGAAAATACCACATGCACACATACCTACCGGTGATCTACGCCGATCACCTACCGGTAATCGGCGTCGTGCCAGATCCCGTACCCACATGTGGTTCACAATTAGAATTTGGACAACCGCTATAAAATCGACCGTCCACAATCGGTGTGTGTGCATTTAGCGTAACATGATGCACAGTTTTTTTCATTGATACATTGAGTACCATTGATACACTTAATACGATATAAAATATTACAGTTAAAAACAATAAATAATAAAATGACCGTAAAAAAATTCAGACACATTTGAGCATTCTGTAATACTGAATATATCAAGTTCACAGTTCCTCACCATTTTTTAACAATTTCGAGACGTTATTGAAGATAGGAAACAAATTGTTTGAGACACGAAATATATTCTCTCTTCTCAGTCTTACGTCAGGTAGAATGAAATCAATAGTATAGAGAATTTGAGGTACTTTCAGTTTTCTAAGAATATTAAAAACAAATATCATTTCCGAGGACTCACGGCGGTCTTTCAAAAGTTGCATATTTAATTCTTGTAATTGGCTGGAATACAATTTAATTAGGGCCAGACATTGTGTTTTCTGAAGAAGAGTGTTCTTAATAATTGTGTCTGGACTTTTGTATAGTATCAGAATATAAAAAGTCTTTGGATTCTAAATGACACAACCACATCTGTCTGCCTGTCTGTCTAGAACGAACAATGGAGTTAAAGAGTAACAAACTAGAATCGTGATTGAATTCATGGCTAGATCTTAAGACAAAGCTCATTTTTCTATAACATTCAGATACTAAGTATTCAATGTGTCAAGAGAAACTGAACACACCCGTGAAAATGATCCCGAGAACTTTCATCTCATTGATTCTCTGTAAATTGGTGTGATTAATGAAATAGTCCTTGATAATGGGTGACTTTTTTCGTGTGAAACACATTATTTTGTATTTAGCAACGTTGAGAGATAGATCAGATACTGAAAATTAATTAGATAGATTATTGGGATCATCTAGAACTTTTTCGCTTTCGATTCTTCTAAAAAGCTTGAGATCATCGGCAAATAGGAGAAATTGAGAATGCCCGATATACCGAAAAACGTCATTAACAAATAACACGAAAAGGAGAATGCCCGAAATGGTGACGTGACAGTACGGCGATATTGGTTCATTTATTTTTTATTAATATAGAAAATTATGGCAGATATCGTGATGAAAAATGATACAATCCACAGTGTCCATACTTTTAGGATGGAAAAACGTCAGTCTATGTTTTTAGTGTTTCATATTATCTTCATCTAATATATGAAAATCTCGTGTCACGGTATTTGTGGTCGATCAATTTTTATGAAATTCTTCTTGTATATTTCCTATGTATGAGAATAGGTAGTGAAGAATATTACACACCTCTAGGAAATTAGGGTGTCCCTATCCAGAAAGTTTTTTTACGTTTTTTTTATTTATTTTTGTTTTATTTGGCATCAAATTTGATACACTATATGTAGAAATAATTTATATGGCAGAACAACGTTCGCCGGGTCAGCGAAATTTTGCGAAACTGATATGTGTAAAAACACGTTTGATGTTTTTTTAGTGCAAACTGTTATGTTACTGAGAGGTAGTTTTGGTTTTATAAAAAAATAGTGAACGTGCTGCACTTGATTAGTACTGAGAAGCCGTCACAACCAGTGCTTGTACTTCCCTACGTCAGAGGATTGTCGGAAAGGATCAGAAGAATTGGATCCAAGTACAACATACGAACCTGCTTAAGATCCGGAAACAACCATCCGTAGCAGCCTCACGAAAACCAGGCCACCAAATGCGGACTGCAATTCCAAGGTTTGCATTTACCGGATACTCTTTTGAGTGCGACAAATTCTATATCGGTGAAACTAAGAGATTATTGAAAATCCGCATTGTCGAACACAAGGCGAGGAAAAACCAGCAAATCGGGAAAAGCAGAGCATTTTTGGATTCATCAATATAACATCAAGTATGGATTCATCAATATAACATCAAGTGGTCTCATGCTGAGATCATTCACAAGAAGGAACACTGGTTTGAGAGGAAGTTCAAAGAAGCTGCATATATGTTGTTCAACGACGCATTCTGCCAACCTAGCGTAGAGATACGAAACATTTGGAAACAAGGGGATAACGGTCAACTTTCGGCAAACGACCAACTCCCGCTAAACCGGTGAAGCGAAAGGAGGAAAGAGAGGATAGGAGAAAGCGCTCGAATGACCTATAAATAGTCATCTCTCGGAGAAAAAGTTTTGTCATTACCCGAAGATGATTGTGGATACTAACAATCGAAACGTCGTTAGGTAACTTGGTTTGAAATCTTTTCTGTTTCTTTTTATAATTTTTCGCTTATTTTTATCCTTTTTATTTTTATTCATTTCATTTTTCAGTTTTTTTTAATCTGTGGTCATTTTCATTTTGTGTTTTGATTGTTATATTCGTTTATTACATTTTCATTTCACGTTTTTTTGTTTAATATAATTGACGTTTCAGCTATTCATTCTAATTTAATTTGTTCTTATATAGATTTCGAATCATAGTAGAATAATATTAGACAATGAAAGTTCATTAATAATTAACAAATTAAGTGGGAAATTTTACTTCGCGTCAAATACTGCCATTGTTATAGTTGCGAAAACGGTTATAATGTAACATTTGTACAAGAGTCAACATCAATTTTATGATATTTCATCAATTTTCAACCTGAAAAAATAACTACATATAAATAAAATAAAAAACTTTCATAAACTTTCATCACATCATCTTTATTTACATATATACCTACATTATATTTGAACATGAAATTGCTTGGCCAACATTCCCCATGTGTAATTACAGCGTTTTTACCATCATACTCTGTGGATTTCGAAAAACCCCTCCATCCATAATCGATATATTTTTCAAATTGCTGGATCATGTCTTTGTTAGGTTCCTGTGACAAATATATTCCACAGTCCTGTAGACGAATAGAAAGACATGTTTGCCACATTTTCATATTTTCAAGGCCACTCCAATAGTTGATCAGATCCTTGGCCATCTCCCGAAAACTGTAAGGGAACTTCGATTTGAACGCCATAGACAGTCCATGAAATTTCCCATATTCAGTAAAAATCAGCTCAAAATGTTCTTTGTTAAAAACCACGTGTTTGTTTATCGTTTTGAAATTTTTGGATTTCAAGTTTTCGAAAAACAATTTTTCTTTTCCTTCTTCTAAATCTGCGACGTAAAATTTGGATATTTTATCGAAGAACCCTGGACAGTGGGCTATTTCTTGAAATTTCAGATAATTTGTCCATATTATCTTATAGAAGATGGCTTCGTTGCAATACATTAGATCTATAGAAAAATTTCTTCTTGCTGTTTCCTCTGTATTTGCACTTTTCACCATCAAATCCAATGTTTCATCAGTATGTTTATCTTGAATTGTAATGAAAAGCAGATCACCCATATACCCTTCTTGTTGTCTAATTATTTCGCAATACTTAAAATATGGCTCTGATCCTTTGAAACCTTCCCTTATTATGACTTCTTTCAGAGAACCGCAAACTTTTGATGACTCTTCCATTTCAAACTGAATTGCCGACTCAAAACTGAACACGAATTGTTTGAAAGTACAATAATTTCCTCCAACAGTCTGGACTTTGTTCAACATTAATTCCACTAGTTATCTATATTTTCGAATATACTTTTTGTTTCCTTTTTTGTAGTCCTGTGAAAGAATGGGGAAAACAATTTGTTGCTTTCATTGTAAGGAAACAGAGTCGTACTCATTTATTTTCTAAATTTAATGTCAACACTCAAAGGGGTATATTTCAAGGAGGAACTAATTTTTGGAAAAAACAGGTTCTGACTTTCTACTTCTTCATCTTTATACAAATAATGGAATCTTCCAAAGAAAGGAAGAAATCAGACATGAACTGGAAGAAAAAGTCCTCTCGAAACAATTTCTTTCACATAAACTTCGAGTTATAAGAAAGAAATTTATATAAAAAAACACTGTTTCCTATTCAGCTTGTTATCCAAACATTTGTTATGGAATTGAATCATATATCATTCACAGGAATGCTACACACACAATATAGTACATAAAAGAGGTAAAATTTCACTTACTTAAAACACTGTCATTCTCAATGGCGGACATGCGATGTTTCGGAATAAGACACTTGCCTTAGCCCCAATCTGGATAACATTACTGGATGAAGCACTCAGTTCATTCATATCATACTTATTCTTATGTTACGAATAAGTTGAATCTACTCGTGTAGATGTAGATAACAGTACGTAATGGCATTCATTCGCTCATTTAATTTAATACCAACCATAGACATTTTGTTTAAGGTAAAAACAGTGAAGAACACTCTCCGCAGAAATGTCGGGAAGAACAAAGATGCCCCTACGAACATGCTTGTCGTTCACATTGTATGACTTTGTGATAGTAATTGCTGGATCAAATGATATTGACTGTAGAACTAAGCCTTCTTTTAGTTTTATGTGTAAAACGCTTAGGTATGCACAAACACTAATGTGATTTTTTCTTCTGTCCCTTTCTGCAAAAGTAATATTGAGAATAGACACATCGACAAGTACTACATACGATTGAACGATTTCTTATGTAAATTTAACAAAAGTGTCGAAGGTCAAATAAATTACATAGAAATAAATGGAAAATTGGCAGGTAGAAGAAGAAGAAATGAAACTCTAATATAAAATGTCATGGATATAATGAAAAATCCTAATCAAACAAATAATTTGAGATTCATTAAATTGATTGATGATGACTTGCAAGATATGGATACAGCAGCAACCACAATAATTGATGCTCGCCGTAGTGATAAAACTGAAGACACTAGAAACAAGATGACAATAATTATTTATTTCCCTGCGTATCTCAGTTGATATTACAACCATAGATGCCACTTCAGAGTACTTAGCAGTTACTCATCCTAAGACTCCAAAAATTAAAAGGATAGACGACAGGTTGGGTAATAAGCCGAAATCAGATAAATATATAGAATAAATGTTGTTTATGTAAATATTCAAAGCATGAGCAATAAACTTAGTGGATTAGAGTACTTTCTGCATATGAAAAAAATAGAGATATTGTTCCGTACTGAGATTTGGGTATAGCATATTATTGTAGATACACGTCTTCTCATGGTGGTGTATGTGTTTTTGCTCGGGATTTGTTATAAATTTAATAAAAAAAATAAATGAATTGTGTGTAGACATTCATGATGAATTCACGTTGATAGAGCTAGTTAACCAAAAAAATCTATTTCTTATGTATATATAGGTCTCCTATGGGTGATACTGACACTGATATCTTCCTGAATGCATTAAATAAAGAACTGGATACGATATCTTCTAATAATCAAGTTGTTGCGATTGGAGACATCAATTTAAATTTTAATGTCTTAGACAAAATAAAAGTAAACGATTGAATAAATATTTTCCTGTCATACAATTTAGAGGAAAAAGGTTATTAAAATACACGAGTAACCATCACTAGTGCTACAAAAATAGATAATCTGTTTACATACATAAACGACTTGATCGTGGAAGTAATTGAACCGCATATGTCAGACCATAAAGGCATTTTTTTCTCGATTGTAACAAGTTCCACATCTAAAGATAAGTATATTTCATGCACACCCACGACTGAACATGGAATGCGTGGATAATGTAAATTGGGAAATATTTTACGAAATAAACAATC